GGAAAACGAAAAGATTTTTTAAATTTTGTAAAATGCTAACTTATTAAGAATCAATCTGAGGTATTCATAAATTCCTGTTCTATAATTTATATAAAAAAATATTAAAAATACCTAATAAATATTAATAAGGTGGGACGGATTGTTATTAGTATATTAACATTCATAAATGAAGCTTACAATGGTATTCAAGAAACTGCTCACCACGACTATATTGTTGATAGTATGCCTCTTAAAAACCATGATCCGAGTTCAGCAGCCAGTCTTGCAATGAAGGGCAATAGTAATTTGAAACCCAAAATAAACTTCTGGCTGAGAATAATGAGTATAACAAGTATATAACATGCAAGGTCAAGTTTCCATTTGAATGTAACACTACTAAATGCTGATCAATCCGGAGGAGCAGAAGTTAAGAATCATCTTCCTTTGATCACTTGGTTACACGGTAACTCTGCGTCACATCAAAAATATTAAAAAGTCAAGATTCATAAGCCGTAAGCGATGAAGAAAGATGTCCGACTAGCTGAAAATATTGGCAAAGCGATTAAGCATAGCATGGTTCATGAAGATATCATAACCGAAAAGCGGGGAACCACGGAATAAGCACCCATACCTTAACCCGTTTGAGCAGGTCCTTGGCCTTAGCATCATTGTTGAAGTGATCACGTACCGGCTGTAGACAAAGGATTCGTAAGAAAGTTAGATGCACGGCCATTTAAACTAAATAAGGTGTTTGGTTTTGAATGTAAGTTGCAGCACCGGCATCATCAACCCAACATGATAAACCAAATTTTCAACACATTTTAGCCCAAAACCCCGTAGTGCCATGACAAGCTCATTGGCATCATGCTTCCTAACGCGTAACGACACCACCTGATCACACTTCACTTTTAAAACAAAGCAACAATGACAAGTAAAAAAGGATTTCTCTCACGCTCCATTGTTCTCAGGTAATTCACAAACCTTACGCCTGAAGAATGGGAAAGAAGTAATAGCATTATCACAGACTGACACATCACGCAGTTGAATAATCAGTCAGAGTATGAATTTTCCTTTCTCGTTTAATAAACATCTTTTCACAATTTTTTTAAGCTGGCATAGCAGTAGACACTCACAATTAATGATATCAAACATAACATTACAAGCAAATAAAATCATAATATATTTCATACTCTTTTACCTTAACATATTCATAATTAATTCAAATTGATATGTTATTTCCGTACAAGGCTAAAATAATTAAAAAAATTAAAGACCCAAAGGGTTAGCATCCCTTTATCTAAGAATACAACTTCAGAACAATAAAAGGAAATAAATTGAAAAATTGTAAATTAAATGACTATGCAAGGTCCATCAAGCCATTACTTCGAACAATATTCTGTTTGGTATATAGAACTAAAATTTATGGCATGCTTTACCTACCCTTCCTGGGCAACAATTTTAGCTGCCACCGATGCAGGATTGTAGCAAAAAAATAGGAAAATGAAAATTCAAATCCAGAAGCTAAATACAATGTTGTCAAGGCATGCATCTATAACAGAAATACCTCAAATCAAAGCACTTTTGGGTCATGCACATTTGATCAAAGACACACCCGGTACTCCTAAGCACCATTTTAGGTAAGATAATAAAAGCTCATACAAGGCCTGGTGCAGCTAATCAGGTGGGTCTCAATATTTGTTGTCTCTAACCAAAAAGATTTGGACACTGGTTGTCTTCTAACGACGGACTCAATTGCAACAGGATAGAATTTGACAGAGGGTTTAGGTTACTTTCTTCAAGCATTACCTAATAATTAACAGGAAGGGTAAAAAATGTAAAAGGAAACACATGCTTGCCTGAAGTATCTTGTTTAAAGCTTTCGAAAGAGCAGGCTTCAAATCACCAGGATGTAACTGCCCACTCTCATAGTCAGAAACAAGCTCCTCAAAATTTTTATAAGTCCTGAATGAAATGATGACAAATTAGTGCAATGCCATTCTAAAACGAAGGGATAATGACAGACTATAAATGGCTTGTTAAAAAAAACAAAGTGAGTTAAATCCTAGAGGAGTTCAGAAACTTCCAGCGTGAATGCATAAGCATTAATTTCCAAAATGTCCAATCCATTCTTATGCCGAAATAAAAATGAACGTATTGAACCACTAACTTGTCACCACCATTGTCTGCATTGCGCTCCACCTTGAACTCATTAAACCACGGGAATATGATATACTTGATATATTCCAAACATGGGTTCCCCTCAACAGTTTTAGGGGGGCAGTATGCCTTCTTAATTTTCACATTCACTTCTGCCTGTGACAAGAATCATAAGAAAGTATTAGGCACATGACTCAACTCGACAACAAATATGTTAATCCCCCAGGTCAAAGATTGACTACCTCCTCATCTTCCATGAAGATTGATGACGACGGATCACTTTTGGACATTTTCTCTTGTCCTTGCTGGAGACCAGGAAGCATATCTGCACGTCATGAAAACCCAGAGCAACTAATATTAAAGGGAAATGAAAATTAAAAAAAAACCCATATTATATATACTGAAGTAAGACAATACGATGCGACAAAATGATCGGTTTGTTTTTCCTCTTAATGTCATCACAGTACTCTCTTGCAAGCACATTAACCTTCCTTTGATCCATGCCTAGCTGGCAAATGTCAGCCTGTCCAAAAAAAAAAAGCAATTTCAATTGCTTTAGACAAATAAAAGTTTGAAATTAACATTATAACCTGTAAGAAAACATTGAATATACACAAGTAAGGCTACAGCTTGTAAAAAATAATCCAGAACAAACTACAGACAAAATGGAAGGAGATCCAAAGCAATTGTTCTCGACTCCAAACAGAATTTGATTTTTTTCTTTATTTCGACATGATTGAAACAACATGAATAAAAGAATAATGTTGAGAGAAACAAAAAAAAACAATTCCTCAAACAAAAGGATGACAAATGATGTCCTAGTGAAATTTCTGAATTAGAAAAAGAAAGAAGAATAGATGTTCAAATACACTTTCTAAGCCCTTTTATATTGCTGGTTTCAAAATCGCACCTTCAAAGTATAGATCCAGTGGTGATAAGAAATTTGGTTAATTTTCCAAATTTCAGGGGGGAATTTCTATCTGAAATGAGCAGTTGACATGAGGGCCATGATAGATACTTTATAAAATACTGATTATCAGTAAGATTCAGATCAAGCTAGTCCCTTTTTTTTCCATTCCAAATCCAATCCATGTTATTTTCAACAAGGTCATCATAAAGAATTGAGTAATTTGAAGAATAACTTGGAACACAAGTAACACTTCCATTGAGATTTACATGTAAATAAATCGTTCTAAAGTTCTCAAAAAAGCCTATAAAGCAGAAAAAGGATAAATTCCAAAGCACAATCACCTTGAGGAAAAATATGTCAGCACACTGCATGCATGGGTAAAGAATTTGGGCAGCTGACAACTCATCTTGCTCACTACGTCCCATAATTTGACAACACCTATGAAACAACAAATATTTTATATTTAGAGTCAACAAATGAATTACTACACATAAGGAAATAACAGACAAAAAATACTTTATTAGACACAGACCTCATTATCCTGGGAAGCTTGTTTCTGCGAGCTATATCCATCACCAGAGGCCAATACTCTGATGCCCTGGAGTTAATTTCATCTGAAGACCACAAGAACTCAACCTTTCCATTCAGGTCCATGCCGACTGCCTTCCAGATTTCAATCAAATACTGTCCAACTACTTTGATTTTCTTCAAGTCACCACCCATTTTATTGTTTAGCTGTGCAAACCAATCTGCAATCCAGATTTTCACTCTACACCCAGCAGAGGTTAGTTTGTAGACATTTATTGCCTTCACAACTCCCTGTTTTCCACAAATATTACATATAGCAATTTTTAATAAACAATCAAATCAGTAAAGCGCTACAAAGAAGCTAAATCTTTGGAGACAAATCATCAGAGAAATATTAAATTGCCAGATTTCAATTTGTTTCAATGAGTGGGAATAATAAACAAACAAATTCAATATTAACTTTTCAGTATAAATCAAATCCAATAAATCATTGGTTTCAGTTTTCAATGAGTGGGAATAATAAACAAACAAATTCAATATTAACTTTTCAGTATAAATCAAATCCAATAAATCATTGGTTTCAGTTCTGAGATTCAATTTCTATATTTAGATATGATTCAATAAAATAAGAGCAGAAAATTTTGCGAAATAAAATACTTAGACGACTCTTTAAAATTAAAAAAGAATAATACCTGAGCAATGTGCATTCTGCCAGAAGGCTCGAAGCCATCATAGCAAATGGGTTCAGGTTTGTGAGTGAGAAGGTTTAACAGCTCGTCCTCTTGAATGCATTCTTCTCCTACGCTTCTTATAATCTTAAACCTTTCTTCTAAACACATCCTGAGACCATGATTTCAAAATAATTGAATATAATGAACTCGATTTTATCTAAATTTGAAAAAAAAAACTGAAATTTAAACGAAAATCACTTACTGTGGAGCTGAAGAAGAAGAGGAGGGAGGTTGAGAGCTGACAGAGAGTGATTGCGTGTCTGAGGAAGGTGGGGTCTGATCGGCAGGTGATTGATCCGCCATCGGTTCTGAGTGTATTGCGCGCCGCTGGCAAAGAGTTTACAGCACAAACTTAGCTAATCCAGATTTGCTAAAACCTAGTGTTTTTGAATGTTTTCTGGCTAAGCGCATGTGACATCTCAGCCTTCGATTCGGCGGCCTAAGGATACCCCGTTCAAAGCAGGGGTGAGTAAACTCGATTTCTAGAACATTTTTTTTTATTTTAAATTATTCTATTAATTTTAATTATCAATTCAGTTTTTGAGTTCATCTTAAGTAAAAAAAATTGAAATTTTGAGTAACTCAAAAAATTAAAAAATCTAATTAAATATTTTAACAGTTTTACATTTTGGTTCATAATTTCATTATTCTCTCGATTCCTCATTTATTTTAAGTCTAACTTTTATTAAATTTGAATCACATACTCCTAAATCATCATAAAATACTTGTGCACTTTCAATTTTTCTTTTAGATAATAAATTTTCTATTTTTTAATTTAATTTCTTAATATTTCATTATTTTTTAATTTTTTAATTTATATTTTATTTTAAGTTCGTTTTTATCAATTTAAAAAAATGTTCATATACCATAATAAAACACCTTTGTAACTTCAATTTCTACTCTTTTACCAAAAATGTAATCTTTCTCTTTTTTTATTTATTTCCTTAACTTTATTTTTTACTTAATTTGATTTTTGACTACAATTATTTGTAAATTTTTTATTCTCGAAATATTTTCTTTGAAATATAATATTATAAATATATTTTATAATATTAAATTATATTTATATATTAAATAACACTATAATACGAAAAGAATATATATATATATATATATATATTATTTGGTAAGAGAAAGTCGAAAAAATTGAAACAAATACTTACCATAATATTATAAATAACTATAATAAAATTATTATAAAAACTCGAATAACTTGACTCGAATAACTCGACTAAAATTTCTTAAACTCCACTTGAGAAAATTTCAAGTTAAATTCTAGTTTAAAATACTACTCGGTAGTTTGAATAACTCAAACTTTTTTTACTCGACTCGATCGAATATTCACCTCTAGTTGAAAGTTTTAAAGTTGGTTATATATTCACTTCAGGGCAAAATTAAAACTTAAGTACGTAATTATTTTTGGGCTTAAAGGCACCCAATGCCCCTGTACTTTCAAAAAAATTAATGTATCCCTAGTACTTTTTTTTCATTTAATATGACCCTTCAACTTAAAAAAAGACTCAACCTAGTCTTTGACCAACATTTTCCGTCATTAACCAACAAAGCTTTTAATTTTTGCTGGCGTGGTACGTTTTCCGTCCATTAAGGGTTAAAAAAAGGTCTTGATGTTAGAAACCAAATGTCGGTGATATCAACTGTCATCGCCTCCTGGTGGTCACCATGAACAAAGGGGCAAGGTTAAATTGTTTTGGTCCCCTAAAGTCGAATTTGTCGTTGATTTTCCCAAAAAATGTCTTGATGATCGTAAATCTACAAAAAAAACTCTTTGATTGTCGTGGGTTCCATCTTTCCAATCTTCGCCGTCCGCATTTGGATGAAGCCACCTCCATAGTAAGTTGCTCGAGCCATTATGGGTAACATCACCGTTAGGATTTACCAATGGCCGCTAGAAACACCATGAATCGAGATGCAAAAATCCGTCCGTCGCGATGAATTTTCACCGTTGGGATTTACTTATGGCTCAGCTACATGTTTTCTTTTCTAAGCCTCTCTTTCTTCTCTAAAAGCTCCAACGTCGTCGTGTAGCTTGTGATCCACTGGAGAATGGTGGCGACGAGATCAACTGCATGTTTTATTTTCTAAGCCTCACGTTCTTCTCTAAAAAAAACTCCAACATTATCGTTCAACTCGTGATCCGGTGCATAATGGTGGCGACGACAGATGAGAGGCGAGTTCTACGAGATTTAACGAGAATTAACGATCGAATGACCAAAATATATTAAATCAATAACATAAAAGACCGAAATCGATCTTTTTTTAACTAATGATTGACCACCCGTACATATTACCCTAGATTAAAAAGTGTATTTTTAATCTCCATTTATTGTTTTATAATAAATTTATTTTATAACGTATAAATTCACAATAATTTATCAAGATAAAAATAAGATTATATATATATATTTAAATAATTTATATGATTTTAATATAATATTTATTCATAATCTTTCTTTTTTCTTTTGACAATGCACACAACCATAATGAAAAAGTAAAATATAAAAAATATATCAATATATATAAAATATACATTTTGATATATTTTTTATAATTAATAATTTATATTATATAAATTATTAATTATATGAAATTTTACTTATTATTTTTTCCTAAAAAATGCTTAATATAAAAATAAGTATTTAAATAATACTTTTTTCATTTAGGTATTTAAATTATTTTTCGTTAATTAAAGTGCTCAATGTTACAAATGTTATAATTTTAAGGATATGAGTTTTTTTATAATTATAAAGAAATTAAGATTTTAAAATATAATAATATTTTTAAATTTTTGTCAAATTTTTTAAATAATCTAAATACGATATGTGTTACTTAACGAAATTTTTTATAACAGTTAAATATTTAAAATTATAACGTATATAATATTAGACACATGAATTTATAGAAAAATAATTTAGAGGCTTAAATAGAAAATTGTATAATTTGAGAATTTATTTTTATATCAATCCTTATGAAACATTATATTTCATTTACAGGATTTTTCCACCGACTATTTTTTCACCGAAATTTAAAGTAGAATCATCTATACATCGTGATAAAATTAAAATTTTGTTGACACGGATTTAAATTGATAGACCCACGTGTTTTTTGGACCCAGGTGAATGTGACCCAAAGTTGTTCATTTTCATTCTAAACTTTTCATCTCTCTTCCTCGTTTTTGTTGTTTAACTCTTGTGCCCCTGCTTGGAAATTTCTAGGGTTCTTTAGTTTTTTTTTTTGGTGAAATAGGGTTAACATATATAGCAATGTTTAATTGATTTTATATATAGTTTTATATGTAATTATTTAAGTAAATTATTAATTTGTATATTTAATTATTATATGTATTTTTATATTTGTATTGATGATATTTTCTATTGTTCACAATAATGTCTATTTGAATTTATTATTTATGTTTTAAAAAAATTATTTGTTTGAGTTGTTTATTTAATTTTTTTGGTCAACCTTATTAATTCATTCATTGATTCTAGATAAAATATCCAACATACATGATTAAAATTATTGAATATTAAAATTTCAACACTATTATTAATATTTTTTATTACAAAAGAAAGTAACTCATAAACTACATGATATTGGGAGATAAAGTCTCACAATCCGCTCGGAAGAGATCTTGCACCACATCAGAAGGGGAGTCAAACAAATGGAACCCTAACAATAGTGACCAAGAAGTTTTCGTTAATCCTTTCGCCAGCATGTTACACCCGATTGAACACCATAACAGTACTCCAATGGTAAGATAAAGCCTCTTTAATGCACATCACCAAAGGGGAGAAAGAAACCTCGCTCTGATTCGATTAATCACCGATAATGCTTGTTTGTTGTCTATTTCCATCACCAACTCCCAAACTCACGAATCACAAGCGAGCTTCAAGCCCTCAAGGATTCTCCATAACTCCGCCTCCAAGGTTGAATAGATACCAATGGATTTCAAGAACCCCGCAACCCAACTCCCCATAGAATCATGCAAAACTTCACCATATGTACTAAGTCCCGAATTCGTCCGCCTTGAGCCATCTGTATTTAATTTGAACCATCCCTATTGAGGGGGTTACCTTGTGAGGAGCTAACAACCATCTTTTTCGTTGATTGTTGCTGAACACGTGCTCTTAATAATTCATGAAGTATACATAAACTCTTATGCAAAACACTTTCAAACTCCACAAACCCCGCATTAAAGATCTTTTTATTCCTTCAACACCAAAGGTTCCATAAGACCACACCAAACAGGAGATTCCAATTCTTGGATGCAATCGGAAAGCGATAGTGATTAGCAATATTACCCTTAATCCAGGCCATTAAATCTAGCTGAAAGAATTCATGATCCGCTTTAATTAATTAATACGTTCTTTGTGAGCAAGCAATCCGAAGAATATGTAACGTTGACTCCACTGTCTCCCCACACTCCAAACAGCACGTATCGGGAGACATATGTCGTCTCACATACTCTTCATTCGAAAAAAGGCTACCCCTACACACTATCCACAGAAAATTCTTCACCCAAGGAAAGCCATTATATCCCGTAATGATTTTCCATAACGGGGATTCCTCCATGGCAGGCAAGTAGAAACAACTATCATAGGCACTTTTAGTAGTGAAAGTGTGCTTACTATCCCATTTCCACCCTGGATTATCTACTCCTCCATGAAGAGCATGAGGTTTCACTGCCAATAAATGCAAATGAATCGAGTGAGGGATGAAAAGTGTAATCACCTCCATCTCCACTCACCATTACAATCCACAAGAGTATTAACCGTAGAGTTTTGCGATGGACTTCACTATTGATCATGACACAAAGATCGAAGGGGCCCAAGATCATTCATCCACAGATCATCCTAGGAGTCTACCGTTGAGCCATCACTCAGGTTCCAAACAATTCCACTCCTAACATCACTCCAAATGAAGTTAAGGCATCTCCACAAACAAGAACAAACTCTCTTATTAATGTCCATAGATAAAATTTCCATCATTTTATATTTACTCTGAATGAAACGGGCCCAAAGTTGATTTTGATTAGAAACCAAAAGAAAACCAACTTTCATAATGACATCTTTATTTTGTATATGCAACATTCAAAAACCAAAGACCACCTTGTTGCATGGGCATGCAAAGGGTATCCTATCGAACAAGATGAACATTATTATTTTTCTCTGTACTTCCCAAAAGTTTCGGATGAGACGCAATATCTCCGAATAACCCTTTTAGAATATAGCAGGTTTGCATCACATATGTAGGAATGACCGCTAAAGCAGATTTTGCCATAACAAAACAATCTACCGTGGAGAGGTTTTTAGCTTTCCAACAAGTGAGATGGTCCCACACCTTTTACACCAAATAATAATATGTCATACAAGTGACCCGTCGATGTAAAAGTACTACCCCAATATATCTTCCCAAGTCATCCACAAAAGTGAATTGAAAGCCCTTGCAAATATCACTCTTTAAAGCCACATTAACGTTGCTCGAGAAACATATATTAGTTTTGGTGAGGCTTACCTTATAGCCTGAGGCATCACAAAAATCCCCTAAAACACACTGGATTACATCAAGTTGTTCAAGAGACGCCTTTGCAAAGAGGATAAGATCATTGACAAATAAAATGTGGGACAACTTCAGTCATCCACGAGAGATGCAAATTGGCTTCCAAAGTTTATCATTCATGGCTCTATTGATAGCTTGAGAAATTATTTCCATGCACGAGACAAATAGATATGGCGATAAAGGGTCTCATTGGCGAATCCCTCTTGAAGGTTTGAAAGAGTCTGTCACCACTAAATTCTATAAAATCTGAGTGGAAGCCGAGGATACACAACACATAATAAGTCTCCGGGTATCCAAAACGCACCCGATATCGAAGAGTGTGTCATCAATAAAAGACCATTCCAAATGGTCATAAGCTTTCTCCGAGTCAATCTTTATCGACATTCATCCCTTCATCCTCTTTTTTCGCTTCATAGAGTAGATAACTTCCTGATAAATTATTATATTATCTGATATGGATATACTCGACACAAAGCTAGTTTATTGCGAGTTAAATAAATACTTATGGATTATAAATTTTAATTAAATCAAACCCATTTATTCATTTAAATCTAATGGCTATAAATTGATATAATGTAAATTGGATGAGAGAAATTAAATGTTTAGATTAACAGTAGAAAATGAAAAGATATTCACTGGAAAAAGAAATAAGGAGTTAATTTCAGCCTTTGATTTCTCTCAATCCAATGATCATAAAAAGGTGTAAAATTAAAAGAGTTTTACACATTGTAAATTGATTCTAATCCTATATTATATACAGGGGCAAGATCCGTTTACACAATTTTACCTTCAGACCAATGGATGAGAGAAATCAAAGGTTGAGATTAACAGTATGAACTGAGAGAATATTCATTGGGAGAAAAAAACAAATAGTTAATCTCAGTCTTTGATTTCCTTTAATCCAATGATTTTAAAAATGTGTAAATTTTTTAATTTTACACTAAATGTAAGTGGATCCTAACCCATGGAAAACCATAACAAATGAGATCATATCCCATCATTTATAGTAAAATTGGTCCAACAGGTCAAACAGATAAAAAAAATTGGCCTATTTTGCCATTTCTAAAATTAATCTGGGATCTACAATAAATATTACAATGTAGGAAAAACTCGTCATGTACATATAATGAGTTTATCAAAATAATAGTTTTTTATTCAAAAATTTGTCATATCAATGTGACAAGTTTCAAAAAAATATAATTTTTATTAAAATTTATCACATCAAGATAATAAATTTTAATAAAAATATATTTTATTAAAATTCTACATATCAATTTGACGAGTTTCAAGTTATTGTAATAAATAATATACATCTCAAATTAATTTAAAAAATAACGGTTAATTTGTTTCTGGCCTGAACTATTAGGCCAATTTTGCTCATTTTTATTGCTTCTTATTTCAGATTCTACGTAGACGAGAAAAGAAATTCATAAAGTTTTCTTTGGCTCACGTCTAAACACTATTTTTTTAAATATATGATTATTTTTTCTTGTATTTTTACTTTCTAGTGAATTGTATTATTTCTTAGAAAGGTTAAAGGTTCTTAAATGAATAATATGTATATTGAATATCTTAAATGTAGTAGAATAAAAATGTATAATTATAATTAATAATAAACTATTATAGAACACAAATTGAATTGATAATCAAGATTAATTACTTATATAAAATTGGAAAAGGACAAGAAGATTAAACTTAAATTTAGTATTATTAATTTTTTTAATAGTTTGAAGTGATTAGAAGTTAATACTTGTCTAGAATATTTCGTAAGAATAATTGAACCCAAAATTTTTAGAGAAAATAATATTTTATTTAATTACTGAAACCACCTAATGGGTTCAAGATTCATTCTTAAGTTTTTAATGTTACTCCTTAATATTAATTTAAAGTTTTATCGTTTGATATATATAATATTATAATTGTTTTATTAACTAGATATATATTACATTCTCAAAATAGATACTAAGATTCAAATTCATGTAAAATGAGATAGTATTAATGTTTTGATTCTTTAACCGATCAATGAATGTTGATGGTAGTTACAGAGAAGATGTGATATTCACCAATTTTTTTAATTAAATTAAGATGATTATAAAGTAATATTTATTAGAATATTCTCATCCATTTAAAAATGAATGCTCAATCACTCTACTACAGTCACTAATGTTCGAACTCATAATCTCTAAGAATAACAATAATATTTTTTAACTATTAAGGTAAATTAATTCGTGTACCAATTGTGTATATGGTAGTTACTAGGGATGGCAACTCAACCCGAACTCGATGGGTTTCGACCCGACCCGATTGGGTATGATTTTTTTTTTTTAAATTTTGAGTTCGGGCCGGGTCGGGTCGGGTTTAGGGTGGAAAAAATCCGACCCGACCCGAAATATATATATAATTTTATCCTATATATTTAGAGATAATTACAATAATACCCCTCTATATATAATTTTTTTCAATTAAGTAATTATTTTTATTGAATAAAAATATTTTTTTATTTCGGATCGGATCGGATTTCTAAGTCATATATTTAGGTCGAATTGAGTCGAGTGAAACCTTAATTTCGTCGGATCGAATCACGGGTGAAGGATCCTTTCTTCTTGAGTCGAGTCGGGTAACCCAAAAACCCGACCCGACCGACCCATTACCATCCCTAGTAGTTACATAGAAGATATAGTGAAATCAATTACGCGGCTACCAATTGTGTTACTTCGACGACAAAGGAGACAAAACCATATAAACAAAAATCAAATAATGACACCACACCAATAAAAAAATATCCCTCCAGAAAACCTAAAGACCACCAAATTCCCCTCCCCCCCCCCTCTCTCTCTCTCTCTCTCTCTCTCTCTGTGTGTCCAAGGCCCGAGAAAAAGGGAGAGAAAATATCTAATGCCTCAAAAATCGCCTTCTCTACCTCAGGCACGTCAAATTCTTCCTCTTTTTCCTCAAATCTTTGTAATAATTGTTATTCACAGAGGATGAGAAATTTAAAAATCAAGACATCTTTCTTTGCATGTTTGCTTAGAACATTTTCGTTTTATCTATATTTCTAATCTTATGTGTTGAGAAATCTGAAATTTGGTAATAAGGTTATATATATTACAGTGAAAGGGAAGGTAGTAATAGTGTTGAAGTCTGGATTTTTAATCGCAGAAGAACAGTTACAGGGTGTTTGGAAACATGGCTTTGGTTGTTCCGAAGGAGCTTGACGAGCTCGAAAAGCCTTTTTCTTTGCCTTCTCCAAAGCCTTTTGAGATCAGATTTCAAGTCCCCGATTTGAGAGTTCCCATTAGAATGAGCTTCTTTTCCTTTTTCGTTTTCAGCCTTTTTTCACAATGTTCTTGCTCCTAAGGTTCTGTTTGGATATTGAGAAAATGGAATGTGCAAAATTTTAACAAGGATGTTCTCTGAGATCTCGTTTTTTAAAGCAAAGCAAAAGCTGCGGTATAAAACACGCTTCTCTGCGTCAAATTGATTTCTATTTGCTTTGTTAAAATTTTTGGCTGCCAAGAGCTATGGGGATAGTTATAACCAAAAAAAAAAAATCACACTGAATAAAAGATATAAAAGGAATGACACCTCTTAGCCTATCTCCATTTCTCATATCTACTCTACAATATTTCTATCTCTACTCTAAATATTAAACAATAATTCATCTCAAACACTATCTCTACTCACCATCAATTCTACTTTATTTACAATATTTAACTATTATAATATTAATTTTACAAATATAAAATAAAACATATATATTTCTAATAAATATCAAGATAAAAAACATAAATAAAACATTCATAAATAATATTGTAAAAATATAGATAAATAAGAAAATTACAATTCATAATAATAATACGAAAAAACATAAATTACATAATTATATATTTTAATTCTCTGAATTAGAATATTCATTTCACAAATGTTCAATTAGTGCATTTCGTAGAACAAAATGAGCAGTTGCATCTTTGATTTGTCTAAATCAGATAAAGAATTCTTAAAATTTAGTCTCCTCATCTTCAATAAATTTGACATTCGGAGGCGGCGCATCTCTTCCTTCTACAATTGGAGAATTAAGATCTCGTTCATCATCTATTATCATATTATGCATTATTATGCAAGCAGACATAATATTTTTCAAATCATTTTTGCTCCAAAAACGTGTTGGATTTGCCACAATTGCAAATCAATTTTGAAGAACTCCAAATGCACGTTCGACATGCTTTTTGTTTTGTCGTAAAATATTTCTTTTTGAGATCAATTGGCACAAGGATAGTTTGCACAAGTGTCACGCATTTAGGGTATATACCAGCACCTAGATAATACCACATATTGTTTATGTTTTTATGTTCCAAAAAATTAGTATGTTTATTTATTTAATTTCAATGTATTTTAATTTATCTTGCAATTTAATCTACTTAAATTTATTATATTATGTTTAATTTTTATTCTATTGTGTAAAAATTACAATAAAAAAAACATAAAAGATAGAATAAGAGAAAATAATGTAACAAAGAAAAGAAATTAAAAAAATAACAAAAGAAATTAAAAAAAATAACAAAAAAAATATAGCGCAGTTACAGTGTAACGCCAGTGCCAGTTGTGGCGTGCACTGTAGCCCGACGCCACAATCCAGCATAACAATGGCGATGGACTGGAGCATAGGATCATCTCTAAAGTGGAGATGAATGCCACTCTTGCGATGCGCTGGATATGGCCTTATGAAAATTGTTTATTTTGTTTGCGGCTTTCTGTGAACTTGCAATTGCTGTTGCGGCCTCAAAGATTTCATGGACATCAGGAATATATTGTTCCAAATGAAAGAAAATTATTGTTGAAAATTTTATGTTGGATTTTTGTAAATTTCATGGATATTTATTATCCAGTTCTCTATAATGAGTTAATGACCTAAGATGATTACCTGAAATTTTTATATTATTATTAGAGTTAGGTTGAGTTATTGGAAATCTTTTATGTAATTCATTGAATTTTTTTTTCTAAACTTCCATTTGCCGGAAGCAGCAGAACTGATTTATGGAAATAAAAGCGATCTGAAGTTTAAAAGGCCACCATTTCAAATAACTGTTGTCCTTTTGTTTTAATGAAGATAACAAAGGAAATAAAGATGCTTTGGTGAATTTTAGGATCCTTTTGATTGTATGTATAGGGTCCGATACATTGTTGTTGATATCACAAATGCATGCTCTGACTGTGATTCAGGAATTCTTGAGGACTAGAGAAGTTGGTGAGTTTCTAGTGGAGCTTTAGCCGGGGCTATGACCAAAGCTGTTCTCGCTCCTTTAGAAACTATCAGGTTGGCAGACACGTTGTGTTATATGTTTTTGTTTATTAATTTGCTGAATTATTGTCTTTGCCATTATATCTAACATTTTTTGTTTCTTTATCCAGGTGTCTGTTAAGTGTAATTATTTTTTAGTAAACCTTAAATCTGTAGAATGGTATGGAAACTTACCTAGAAAAGCTTGAACAGAGGTGTACTATATTCACTGAATGGTTTTGGCTTTTAACTAGAAAAATATTGAATTTCTTTCCATGATCATAATTTTAAGCATGGTTTTGAATTTAATTTCTGTTTTCCATAAATTTTGATGATTCTTGTGGATTCCTTATTTCTTTCTTGGTACTGCACAGTTGTCCACTTTTTCAACTTTCAAGTTACTTAGTTTTTTATAGGATTGCATGAGTGTATCGTTAGTTTTGTTTCTAGGGTATAATAACTTGTTGACCTGAAAAGTTTTGGATATCAAGTCATTCTTGAAATCTTTGAACAGTTTCTTGTTATCATTGTTACCTTATTCATGATCCTGTTAGCCATAAAATCATTATCATGTGTTTGTCACCAATGAATTTCTTGAACTTATAATTTATGTCTTATATGCAGGACTAGAATGGTGGTCGGGGTTGGATCCAAAAACATAACTGGTAGTTTCATGGAGATCATTGAGCAGCAAGGTTGGCATGGACTGTGGCTGGAAATGGAATCAGCATGGTTAGAATAATTCCCACCCAAGCAATTGAGCTTGCAACATTTGAATGTGTCAAGCTCACAATGACATCAGCACAGGAGAAATGGAATGAGACTGACAACCCAAAGTTGCAAATTGGTCGTTTTAATGTTAACTTTTCTCTTTCCTGGATTTCTCCAACTGCTGTGGCAGGTGCAGCTGCTGGAATTGTTAGCACACTTGCATGCCATCCTCTTGAAGTTATCAAGGTATCTGACATATCATGAGTTTGATTACATTTCTTCTTTATTTTTGTTTTCCAAATAAAAAGGAAAAAGAAAAGCAGAACATTCCTTCTTGTGATGAATTATTTCTTTTAGTTTTTGGGTTTCCATAATAGTTACGGATGAAGTGCGACTAAGAGTATGGGGCTGTATAATGATGTCATCCAACTCATCATTTTTATTAATGCTTCAGAGACCTCTTAGTATCTCCCTTGTCTGAGCAGTGGGTAAATTAGTTGAATAGCCTATCCTTATGTTGTTTAGACACTTGGAAAAATAATAAATCTGAATCTGATTATGTTGAAATTATTAGAGTTCTCATTTTATGCTTTTGCCTATGGAGCTGATATTACCCCTTGTAATACTTACAGGATGGGTTGACTGTCAGTCCTGAGATATACCCTAGCTTAAGCATTGCAATTTGCAAGATTTACAAGGATGGTGGAGTTGGTGCCCTTTATTCTGGTCTCTCTCCAACACTAGTTGGCATGCTTCCATATAGTTCTTGTTACTATTTCATGTATGATAAATTAAAGAAATCATGCTGCCAATCAAAGAAGAAAAATTCTCTAAATCGTCCAGAGATGCTTGTACTTGGAGCTCTTGCGGGTGAGACTTGACCTATGCTGTTTGTTGGAAAATATTTATGGGGTTTTCCCGACATTCATTGATAATACTTGTTCGTTTGTTATTATGACTATTAATGTATCAATGCATAGCAGCTAAACTGGTTCCATTGAAATGATCAGGTTTTACTGCTAGTACCATCAGCTTTCCCTTGGAAGTTGCCAGGAAACGGCTAATGGTCGGAGCTTTGCAGGGTAAGTGTCCACCAAACATGGTAGCAGCACTAGCTGAAATTGTCTGGGATGAGGGCTTACGGGGCCTTTACAGAGGGTGGGGTGCTAGCTGTCTAAAAGTAATGCCCTCCTCTGGTATCACCTGGATGTTTTATGAAGCTTGGAAAGACAAATTGGTTGCTAATAGACGCATAGTATGATGGCTGTAGAAATGAAAAACACTTTTTATAGCTAAGCTAACTAGTTGAAGCTCCTCTCTTTAAAGTGCAAGAGGATGTTGTGTTATTCAGGGTTGTTTAGGGAAGCTCTGGCTGATGATATTTAACAGTATCAGCTCCCATATGTATATGAATAACAACCCTAGCAATTTCTACATTATTTTTTTTTAAATTTTGTTCTGCTGAACTGTCAGGTGAGCTTCAATTTTGGAGCCATATTAAATATTGACATGTACTGAAAGATTTCTTATGTATCACATGAAATTTTGACCATTTAGTCTCAATTTTTTTCAATCTCTTGTAACTGCAACTCTCAGGTTTGTACTTCTCATTGTCATTGATATATTGATATTGGACATATAGAAGCCATTACTGCTACAAATGTGGTGAAACAGGCAAAACCAAAACGTTTGTATTACATTCTTGGAGGTACAAATGTTACAAATGAATTTAAAATTTTATTGATGACACTACGGCACTAAAAATCAGAAATACATCTTACAGTGTCGGCTAAAGTATAGCGAGGATATGACAAGGCTCGATCTAATTTAACGCTTTCCTGTGTGTTCAAACAGCACTTGCAATTACATATTATCGTCTTCAACAATGGTTCTATTCCTTTGCCTTTGAAACTGAGGAACGCATGTTCTGATTGACTGTGAGTTTTCAGCAAGCATATAAAGGCAGAACACGCATAACCCTATTCCAGAAGCACAAAAATTTATTTTCCATAAATTCAAAACGAAATTGGGGGGGGGGGGGGAGAGAAATTATTATCAAAAAATTATCAAGCATGCTAGAATTTCTGGTTGTGGAAATTTACTACATAAAAAGTATTCTTTGTTGTCAAACAGTAAATAATTTTTCATTTACATATTTTAGCCACATTCCCGAATCCTGTAATGAGGAATCGATTGTCTATGGAATTTAAATATTATTGCTAATACGATTATTGCTCCAAAGTAGAAATGTGAAATTTCTGAATGCATGAAATCAATATGAAGTACTTGAATGAGCAAAAAGAACATGACAGGATCTCAAGACAGATAGAGTGTGGTTCATTCAACAATAACCAATTCAATTATCTGTCATGTTTTAGATACAAAAGTTTAAAGTTGCACTTGATTTCAGCAACAGAAAATGGGAAGTTAATGGCAAACATACCTGCATAAGCAACTGTGGCACCAGAGACCAATCGTCCAATGGCCGACAGTATGTAAAGACAAACAATGACCTGAAAGTAGACATGCATCGGAAAAGGGTGGGTTAACATCATGATTTTCAGAAGGCAACAAAGCAATGAGCAACTAAACCGACAAGAGAAACAGTTGCTGGCGTTCCTAATAGAAGGGTGGGTTAACTCGGAGGTTAGAAGCATCAGACCATTTGCGATGGATATTCAGCAGATATCAACTAAAGCAGAAGAATTAGGATTGAACATAAATTTAAGTTGCAAAAGTTCACCCCAAAAAATAGCCTTTTGTCATGTCCAGTTGCTGCAACCCTTAGAACCGACTCAGCTGCCCCAACAGTATTAGCTAACCACGCAAAAATGCTATTAGCGGCATCCTGTGAGATCTGCCACTCAAGTGGATCTACTGGTACCCTATACAACATTTTTTCCCATTATGACGGTGTATTAGTTCAATAATAAAAACTCATTACTAAAATGAAAAGGCAAAATCATATGAATACCATCAGACAAATCTCATTGAAAAAATGCACATATGGTATCATAAACACACAATTTGATCAACACTGGACTAAATTTTAAGAGTAGTTCAAGTAATGCAATATCATCTGAGGAGAGATAGAAAAATAAAAACAAAATAAAAGCCATCGGGAAAAGGGAAAGAAGTATAGGAAATGCACGACAAAATTAGAAGAATAGGAGGGGGGGGGGGGGAATCCCAAACTAAAGGTGAATTTCAACAAAATTTAAAATCTAACCAGAATTCAAACCTGTTACAGACAGAAACATCTTCAGCATTAACAATGGAACCTAATACAATGCTCATTTAAGGTAGCACTGGAAAATGCTTAGAAGATCAATAAACAAATCCGAAATGCTAAATCTTTCAGTAAGCACGTTCTTGCCAAGCATCATCAGGACGATCAACAATCAATATATTGATGAGCAAGCATAATATCTGCAGTCACCATGATTAATTAAACCAACCGGAACCCAAGTCCGGAGACTACTGCAGACACACTATAAGAGGGTTAAGTGATACTCCGATAAATTAAAGGTAATTATTCAGTAGAAAAGGGACGAGAACAATCCAAATCCACCCAATTTCTTCGAATCAAAAGCGGCACAAAGCATTAGAACGTCCAAACTTCACCAATTCCAATTAACAAAAACAAATCTAAAAACTACCAATCAGCTTACTTATTGTAACTTAAAAACATAAAATTGCTCTTCACAGGAAAACAGAACATCAAATCCTAAACTGGCAAGAACACAAATAAACGAAAAACCCAACAAATAAAACAGATGAAAACAATAATTTGAAAGAAACCCAGAGGTGAAAAAGAAAGAAAGAGTACGAGATGTTCATTTGACGAAAGAGGAGGCCGAGAATGGCAAGAGAGCATAGGAGAACGATTAAGACATCGGAGAAGAGAGAGAGAATGGTTGAATTGCGGTAGGCACAATGGTAGTACACCAAAGTACCACATACAAGCAATCCCAATGCTTTGCTCACTTCGCTCCTCCCTTTGCCTTCAATCATCTCTTTCTTGTTCAACTTGAATTGTTTCAAAATTTTGATTTGCAGTTGGAGCCTGGAGGCTTAATTTTCAATTTCTCTCCTTGCCTGCCCCCGGTGTGGAATGAGATTTTAGACGCCTTGACTCGTATCTTTCTGTTCTGTTCTTTTCTTTTCCTTTCCTTTTGTTCTTAATCAATTGATAAAATATAGGATTTGGGTTGACCTCCAAAATCCTAGCGGTTTTGGGTGTTCGGTTTTCAATGTAAGAGTCAGTAGAGTAATAATATGAAAAATGTAATTTTAATTATTGGATTTGTGTTTTGTTTCCAAAATCCTAATGGTTTTGGGGTTTTTTTTTTGGGTCTTTGATCTAAGATTTAACTACTTTTAAATTAAATTTAATATTTCCATTAATTTTTATTTTTATAATCATATATATGTTATTATTGAATTATTTTTTTTAAAATAACTAATAATTTAAAATTTTTGTATATATAAATATTTTAATTTCTACTTTGTAATACAAATATTGTATATACAAATATTTGATAATTAATTAATTAGAATAATTACTTAAATTTAATTTTTATAGCATTAGAGTTTTCTTTTTCTTTTTTTTTGAGTAAAGAGAAAGAACAACATATAACCCTATCTACAAGCGGGCAGCTTGATCAGAGACAACGATTGTTGCTTCCAGCATCAAGTCTCGACATTCCTCCGGGGCTCTTGCACCAGCACCAGGCCTAACGTATGACTCCGCGCTATCTTCGCAAGTTTGTCTGCTACTGAGTTGCACTCTCGAGGCACGAAAGTAAAGCTGACCTCCCAATCACGGTTGCAAATATCACCTAAATGTGGAAGAAGTGAACAAACATCTCTCGCTCTTGGGACGTTATTCAACAAATCCACAGCTTCCTTGCAATCCGATTCAACTTTAATCTTCCTGACCCCCATGTTCCATGCAACTTGTAACCCCTCAAACAAACCCCAAAGCTCTGCGTCTAAAGCTGAACAACAGCCAATAAACTTCATGAATCCCATCACCCATCGTCCTACGTGATTTCTAAGAACACCACATACAAAATACTTTCAGATGAAGAAAACTCCAAGTCAAAAATCAAAGAATTTCTTCTCTTCCATAAGCACCAAACAATATTCCCAAACAACATCGCCCAGTTAGCCGATTCCATTGGGAAGCCAGAAAATTCTCCTTCAAGTTCGCCTGTAGTCACCTTCCCACATCAAGTTGCAAGAACTCTCTCATCTGCTCCGGTTTAATTATGTTATTCCGCGTCTCACGCGCTACCACACACTGTAGAATGTAAGAGAGAGATTCGACTGCCGCTCCACATATTGAACAATCCGGATCTGAAGCCATGCTCTTACGCTCCCGTTCTTCATTTTTTAAAACCCTGTTCTTGCAAATGAGCCATAAAAAGGATTTAACTCTTGATAATTCTGGACACTTAACTATACAGCGCCAAATTGATTGATTGACCTCAACATCGGAAGATAATTTCTTTATATAGGCACTCTTTTTAACTGCCGCAATGTTGAACCACAACAAAGGCGGTAAAGTAACTCTCAACCACAACCAATTCCACTCCCCATTTGAGTCAACTATCTCACACACTTTGATCTCCTCCTCCATCGGGTACATTGGGATATTCCGAAAAGCTTGCAACGGCCCGCACTCCCCCAACCACGAGTCAGTCCCGAATTTCACCAACGTGCCATCTTTAATGGTCCAAACAAGGCCCTCTCGCACATCCTCCCATACGATAGACATGCCCTTCCATAAAACGAGATATCCCCTTACTCTCAATTGACAGAGGCACAATATCTGTCATTTTATACTTTCCACGAAGAACTCTAGCCCACAATTGTTCCCTACTCGAGATAATACGGAATGCAACCTTCATCAAAAAAGCATCATTTTGAACATGAAGTCGCCTAATTCCAAGGCCACCATCTGCTTCCTGTAAACTCACATCCTAGTTCACAAGATGAATACCTCGCTTCTCTTCCGTACCTCCCCAAAGAAACCAACGAATTAGCTTTTCCATGTCATCACATACTCCTTTCGGAAGAAACATGTTTGCATGGCATAGGAAGACAAGGCTGCCAACACTGATTTGACAAGAACTACTCGTCCAGCAAATGTTTAAAATTTAGCTTTCCACCCATATAATTTGTACCGGACTTTCTGGATAATGAACTGATAAGTCGCTCTTGTAACACGCTGATGTAGAAGCGGAACGCCCAAGT